CTATGACATCACAGCTCACAGCAACCTCCAACTCCTGGGCTCAAGTGAGTCTCCTGCCTCAGCCTCCCAAGTAGCTGGGACCACAGGTGCCCACCACAACGCCTGGCAATTTTGGTTGCAGCCGTCATTGTTGTTTGGCGGGCCCGGGCTGGATTTGAACCTGCCACCTTGGGTGTACGTGGCTGGAGCCTTAGCCACTTGAGCCACAGGCGCCGAGCCAAGTTATTCATTTTTGAGACAGAGTCTCACTCTGTCACCCTCGGGTTGAGTGCCATGGTATAATTGCTCACAGCAACCTTAAACTTGGGTTCAAGTGATCCTCTTGCCTCAGCCTCCTGAGCAGCTGGGACTATAGGCACCCACCACTATACCTGGCTACTTTTTCTATTTTTAGTAAAGATGGGGGGTCTCACTCTTGCTCAGGCTGGTGTCAAACTCTTCAGCTCAGGCGATCCACTGGCCAAGGCCTCCCAGAGTGCTAGGATTACAGGAGTGAGCCACTATACCTGGCTGGGAATGAAATAATTTGAAGGTTCATTCATTCACATGTGTGGCATCTGGGCTGGGACCACTCAAAAGTTGGGGCTCCTGTGCATCTGTCTCTATTGCTACATGCTCTCTACATGGTTTCTCCAGCATGGCAGTTTCAAGTTAGATTTCTTTTTTTCTTTTTTTTGAGACAGAGCCTGAAGCTGTCACCCTGGATAGAGTGCTGTGGCATCACAGCTCACAGCAAACTCCAACTCTTGGGCTCAAGCAATTCTCCTGCCTACATCTCCCTAGTAGCTGGGATTACAGGCACCCGCCACAACACCTGGCTATTTTTGGGTTGTAGCTGTCATTGTTGTTTGGCGGGCCCAGGCTGGATTCAAACCTGCCAGGTGTATGTGGCTGGCGCCTTAGCCACTTGAGCCACAGGCGCCCAGCCAAGATAATTAGATATCTTAAAAAACACTCAGGGATCCAATATTATGCCTTCTTGGCTTCCCTCTTGTGTATGATTGCCTTTTATGACCTAACCTCACAACTCACATAGTTTCCATTGCCACATTCTGTTCTTTCAGGCAGTCACAAAGGTCCACTGAAGTTCAAGGGGAGGAAACACAGATGCCCTCTTTTGATGGGGGGTACTGGGATTGGAAATATGGTTGCAGTCATTTTGGGGAAATACAATTTGTCACAAGTACTAAGAAGTCTGT